GTCTGCCTAGGAGGTAGGTAGGAGAGCTCAAGGCAGAGACACTACAAGGTCACTGGTTGTCAATTCCGAAGGAGGATGGGACACAGAGGCCTCTGGATGTTGGGAAGATGAGAGGATGTGCACTCAAGCTGTGAGCTGGACAGACTGTTGGTCTGTTTCATACTCAGCCACCCAAGGACTGAAAAAGAGAAGCACTGTCTACATCTCCCAAAGCTACCAGGAGACACATCCCCAAATCAGAGGCAAGAACAGAGCACAAGGGTGGCAGAGCCCAGGCAGTGACAGGAGGGAAAACTCCTTTGACCTCTGGTAAAGAGAACTCCCAAGAACATGAGACTCTGACCACTCTTCCAAGGGGACAGGGTGTCCAGCCACAGGCTTGAGGGTGCAATTCAGGGGCAGAGTGCTTGTTTAGTATCCATAAAGCCTCTAGGGTGTGTGCCGGAGGTGCCTGCCTGAGTGTCCACTGAAGGAAAAATCCATCAGTTTTGGAGGGTGGGGGAAAAAGGACAAAACCAGCCTGGGTGAGCACATTCCTTGGTACTGGAGGTGCACAGAATCCCGCAAAATCTCACACCTGAGCTACCCTCTCAGTCCATGACGAACTTTCAACCTCCCAAAACACAAGCACTTAATTGTGGGGCATGGTGGTGCCCGCTTTCACGTCAGCTCTTGTTTGAGTTGGAGGCCAGACTGGGCTATGCAGTGAGAACCTGTCTTAAATAAGAGATAAAAGGGCGCTGGGTAGGCTGGGGAGTTGGCTCAGTAGTGAAAAGCATTTGTGCCCTTGCAAAAGACCCAAGTTCTGTTTCTAGCACCCAAACTGGGCAGCTGACAACCAGCTCCAGGGCACCTGGCACCCTCTTCTGGACTCAATGGGTACCACACTCAACATGCACACACACAAACACATAAAAGACAGTCTGAGGAAAGCAATGTGAACACTGGCATTTACCATTCTGCTTCCTGCCCCAAGTTCCTGGGACAACACTTCCCCACCAAAGCGGACTGTACCCTCACACCGTGAGCAGTAATAAACCCAAATTAGACACCCAGGTGTGGAGACACACGCTGTTTATCCCAGTACTGGGGAGGCAGCGGCACCAAGATGTGTGTGAGTTCGAGGCCAGCCTGGTTCACACTAAAGTTCCAGGAGGGCCTGAATTGTGCAGTGAAAACCGTCTGAAATAAATTAAAAGTTTTGCCAATGACTGGAGACGTGCGACCTCATGGACCACCATAAGATTATCGATAAACGATCGACAAGGGAAGAAAAGCGGTATTTGAAAAGGTGCTGCTCTGGTCCACTTTGGGAGGAAATACCGTTATCTTTTAGTCGCAGCCACGGACCTACTCAGGTGGACAGGAGCAGCAGTCGCCAGGACCCTAACTAACGATGAGGGAAACTGAGGCAACCAAGGAAGTCAAAAGAATCTCCAAGACCGGGAACCACGCCAGGGGCCACAGACGCGCGGCGGGAATCCGCGACGGGGCTACGGCCCAACGGGCCTTGCGAGAGCGCGCTCTCCGGGCGCGCGCCAGGCCCGAGGAAGAAGAACGCGCCGCTCACCCTCGCCCCCACCCCCACTTCCAATCCCCTTCCAGGGGCCCCGCGGTCTGGGCAGCCGCCACCGACAAGCCGCGCAGCTCCTCACCGGCGCCCAAGGCCGCGATTCCCGGGCTTAACCTCCGCGACGGCCACGACTTGGCTGCGCGCACGCGCACGACGGACTAAGCGACCACTTCCGGGAGCAAATGAGGCGGAGTTTCCTGTGCGCGCAGGCCCGAAAGACGGACTCGGGTTCTAGAGGCTCGAGGACAAGGAGTCTATAGTGCGCACGCTCACTGAGATGTCCACGCACTCTCGTTCCGCTCTAAATCTCGTGACGCTACCTATCGCGACAAGACGGAATCTGTTTCACTAGCCCGGGAAGGGGCTTCGCTTAACGTGGGGTGCTATGAATCTAACGTAACACTTCACGTTTAGTGTGTCTGACGGTTATCTAGGGACGCGGGATTTCTCTCACTTCCGGCTCTGCGTGCGACTGCGCCGACCTGCACGCCAGTGCCACCTTATGGTAAACTACGCGATAAGCTCCACAACGCGCAGGCGCAGTAGCTTTGATGGGGCTTCCGGGAACGTTCCCTGAGACTTTTGTGGCGCTGGTTGCCGCTTCGGAAAGGACGGCGGCCGGGAGTCAGGGCGCGTTTTAGTTCGCGCGGATCCCGGCGGTGTGATGCGGTACAATGAGAAAGAGTTGCAGGCGCTGTCCCGTCAGCCGGCAGAGATGGCCGCCGAGCTAGGCATGCGGGGTCCCAAGAAAGGCAGCGGTGAGCGGTTCGGGGCGGGCCGGCTCGATTCCCGGGTGGGCGGATGAGAACAGTTCCGCACTGACAACGCCCTGTGCCCACAGTGGCCAAGAGGCGGCTGGTGAAGCTGGTGGTCAACTTCCTCTTCTACTTCCGCCCGGACGAGGCCGAGGTAGGGGCGTAGGGGACTCGGGGGGCCCGCGCGGCCCGGAGGCCGGCGCTCATGGCCGTGTCTCGCGCAGCCCCTCGGAGCCCTGTTGCTGGAACGCTGCATAGTGGCCCAGGAAGAACCCGGCGGCTTCTCCATCAGTAAGTGCGCTAGTCCCCACTGTCCCCACCCCGGACTCTTGCTCCGCGCACCTATCTCCCTTTTACTCCCCAGGAGCCTCCATTTGTCATGGATCCCTGGTCTCCTGAGGACCCAGCGCTACAATAGCTGATACTCTTGAGTGTCCCCGGGTCTGGTCTCCGCTGGTGCAATCATAGTTTCTTCCCCCACCTTCAGTGCCTATTCTTCGCAAGGATAGGTGCAGCCTGTGCAGATTTTGTTTGTATTAGAAACAGTCTGGGGGCTGGAGAGATGGCTCAGTGGTTAAGAGCATTGCCTGCTCTTCCAAAGGTCCTGAGTTCAATTCCCGGCAACCACATGGTGGCTCACAACCATCTGTAAAGAGGTCTGGTGCCCTATTCTGGCCTGTAGGCATACACACAGACAGAATATTGTATACATAATAAATAAAATAAATATTTAAAAAAAAAGAAACAGTCTGCTTCTGAGGTTGAAGTGACACCTGTTAAACCTTGTTCCTTGGCGATCTTTACGGTACCATCTTGTAGAGATTTGGCCCTCATGTCTTCCCCATCATCATACGGGGTTCTCCATCTATACTCCTAGTCTTTCTTTTTTTGCACGTGTATATATGGAATCCAGAAGTCAATTTCTGGTCTCTTCACCACCCTCTCTTAAAACAATATATTTGTATGTACACATACGTGTATTTGGTTTTCCTTTCCCACTATGTGGGTCCCCGCTATTGAACTCTGGCCATCAGGCACAGCAACAGCACCGCTACCTGCTTGGCTCTCTCATCCTCCCACATGGACTTGGTTTTTAGGCTATATTGGCTGGCAGCAAGCCTTAGGAATCTCCCCATCTGTTTCCTCAGCACTGAGATTCCACTCAGGTCCTCCTGCTTATTACCTACTGAGTAATCAGCACTTTACCTACTGAGCCATCACCCCAGTCCTATTACCATTAGGGCCTACTCTAATGACCTCACATCAACCAGTTCATATGTTCCCAGTGGGTCCCTTTTCATGGGTTCAGGAGTCAGCACTCTGGAGGAGCCAAGCCAGCCTGTGACAGGCAGAGAGGATGGCTTGGTAGGACAGGAACCCGGGTGAGAGGAAGCTGGGCCTTCTGGCCAGCAGGATGTGGGCCAGGTAGACACCCAGCAGAGGTGGCTGGCTCCCTTCCTTTACCCCTTTCTAGGCTTTGTGGAAGACCTCAGCAGGAAGTATCACTTCGAATGCTGTAGCCAAGAGCAGTGTCAGGAGTGGATGGAGGCTCTTCGCCGGGCCAGGTGGGGTTTTGGGAACCACTGGGACCTGGGTGGAAACATGGGGGAGTGTGATCAGTGAGCCCAGCCCTTTTCTCCAGCTATGAGTACATGCGACGAAGCCTCATCTTCTACAGGAACGAAATCAGGAAGATGACAGGCAAGGTGTGTAGGGGTGGGGTGGGGTGGGGTGGGGTGGGGTGGGGTGGGGTGGTGCGGTGCAGGGCAGCCCTCCCTGGCCTTGTTCACAGTCAGCATGCACCCCCACAGGATCCTTTGGAGCAGTTCGGCATCTCCGAGGAAGCCAGGTTCCAGCTGAATAGCCTGCCTACGACGCACGGGCGGACTGCTTGTATTGGTTCCCAGCTAGATGTGTTGGACTGACCTTTGCCTGGCCTCTGGCTATCTTTGAAGATGTGTTTTGGAAATGTCGTTCAAAGCCAGAGGTCCGGAGGAGGTGGGCAAGGGCTTGGATCCTTGTTCCCATGCCATCTCCCTGCCAATACCCTTGAGTGCCCCCAACTGGGGACTGAGCCTGGCACAGCTCCCCTGTCCGTTATTGGATGAATGTATCATGCTAGGTAAAGCTGTGAACCCCACTCCTGCTGATAGAGCAGGTCATGGTGCCGGCCTTCAGTGCTGGGCCTGCTCTATAATAAAGGTACCCCTTTTCCAAGCCACACAGTGAAGTAAATGGGGAGAGATGGGGGCACACACCTTCAGTCCCAGCACTCAGGAGGCAGAGACAGCAGATCTCTGAGTTCTAGGCCAGCCCGGACTACAGAGTGAAACTGTTTTGAAAAACAAAACAAAAAAAGACTGGGCTAGGGACACATAAACACCCATGCATGCAGGCACACACAGCTTGTGGGACGGGTTGTTCCCAGTGTGCCTGGTACCATGCTGGTTTACCCTCTCTGGGAAGATGTGGAATCCTGCCTGGGTTTTGTGGGGGCACATATTAGTGAGTCCTGCGTAAGGGACCCATACCACCTGGCTGTGAGCAACTTGAATGCTACAGGGGTGCCTTGACTCACTGGCTGCGTTTTCCTTGGGCTCTTCCAGAACTGTCATCGTCCCTCAAGGGAGGTGACAGTAACCACACAAAGACAGACCACACTGAGAACCGGCTCAAGTGAAAACAGCTTTTTATTACTGTGTCTAGAGGCGGCAACAATGTGTGAGATGCCTTGGGAACCAAGGGAGAGAACAGTGCACCCGTTAAGTACAGAGGTCATTACAAGACAGAGCAAAGCTGCATCAAGTTACAAACAGGCCAGGCTGCCAAAAAAGCTGTGTAGGTTGAGGGTGGGAACCGAGGTGTGTCTGGCAGAGTCCCTTTGTGGGCTAGCGTGGGAGTAGGTCCCAGTCTGTAGGGCTTTCTATCAGAGTTCCTGAGCTCAAGCCCTGCAGCACCCTTGGGCTGGAATACCAGGGACCACTGAGGCAGCCTAGCCCCATGCTAAGACCATCAGCTAAGGAACCCAGGGCCACCGTGCACCATGTTCAGTTTACTGTGGGTTCCCCTTTCTCGTGGGCTCAGGAGAGGACTTGCAACTGTGCCCGCCTGGAGCACCTGTGGCCCACTGGGCCATGCGGGCCACGAACATGCAGTGTCTGTCCCATAACACTCAAGTAAGGTGGGGCAGCGACCACTGGAGCAGCAGCTGCCAAGGTGGCAGGTGGTGTGTACAGTGTTCACTCAGTGTCTTGTTCCAGGCCTGGGACTTGCTAACTTTATGGCCACCCTGCCCTGCAGCACCTTAGCTAGCTGTGGTGTGCAAGAACAGGCCTGGCGAGCATGAGCACCATCGCAGGGGGTAGGGTGGGGGGTAGAAGGGACACCAGCACCATCTTCACAACTGCCAAGGGAAGCAGGTCAACATGAGGGGGTCAACATGGCCTCCCTGCTTAGCCTACCTACCCCTAACCTGAAGTGAGCAGCATTGAGGGCAGTCAGTCAGGACCGCCTCAGCAAGCTAAATCAGCCCTGGCCCCTTTGCAGCCACACCCAGTGCACCTGTCCCCAGGACCAGGAAGCAACTCTTGGACATAGGTAGGTGGTGCCCACAGTGACCAGAGGCCCTGGGTGGCCCAGCACATCTGGGCCACACTCCTGCAGGGCCCCTGACCAGCGCCATTTTTTTGTGCATTTGAATAAATAAATGTATTTTTCCTCCTCACTTTTCTTTCCATTAAAGTTCACTGTGCAATCTAAAAATAAATGCAGTCAAGTCTATGAAATTTATAAATCTCCATCACATCTCTATAAAATACTGTCACTCATCATGTGACTCTCTTATACACAGATGCCAGGGGACCCACAGTGGGCCAGCCCCATGTCACCTGGCCAGCATGCCCCGAGCCAGAAAAGCAAAGAAATACAAAGTAAATGCACTTGTCACAGGAGCCACTGAGCATTGCAGTAGTGGCCCACACCTGTCAGCACCACTCAGCCCAGCCAGGCACCCAGTCCTGCCCCAGCCCAATCTGCACACACAGCAAAGGCACGCCTAAAGTCACAGGGTTAACAGCAGGGTGTTCACAGTGACAGCGGGCGAGTTCCAAGGAGAGGAACCAGAAGTCAGCCCCCATCGTGCATGCCTGGCGTGCCTTTGGTATCAGGACAAGCAGTAAGGGTGCGTCTGAGAACTGTTTGGCCTTGGTCCGCATCTGGGGCAGCACCCGGGGCGAAGTTGGAGATGGGTGGGCGTGGGCTTGGTGGTGAGATAGCACCGGGACGGAGTCTAGAATCCTCCTGGTGGCCAGCCCGGCAGGCCAAGTCTTTATATGATTCTCTCTCACAGACACTTAGGCGTCTCAAGAGGTTGCCTTGGACGACTTTGATGGAATAAAATATGTCAAAATTGCTTATACTTAAAAAAAAAAAAAAAACGATAAATACTTTATCTAAAACTATCGACAGTACAAACTGGACCAGTCCAGCACCTCCTGCGGTGCCGCCAATTCACAGTGGCTCCACGTCCGGCTCCGCCGGCCTGGCAGGCAGCAGGCTTGGTCCACACCGTCCTTGCATAGGTCGTGGCTGAGGTAGAAGTCCTAATTACCTGCAGGGAGGAGGAGCATGGGTTAGGTGCATTCAACATGTCCTCTTTGGCCGAGCTGCCCCACAGGACACAGGGCAGAGAGGGGTGTTCCTGGTAGGTACTGTTGGGCCCAGCACCCTGCAGCTCTGCCCTTGCTGAGCACACAGGGTGGGTTAGCTGGAGAGCTCTAGCCCTAGGACCTCCAGATGTGGTTGTCAGGCTGTCCTGTACTCAGGCTACGGCTACCACATAGCCACACCCTATGGAGAAGGCCAGAAGGCTGCCATCTGGCTCTTCGCCCACAGGACATGTCTACTGCCATGATGATAGCGCAGAGCAGGGTTTGACAGCCGCTGTTCAGGGAGAGGTGGACAGGGACCGGCTCCCTGAACCTTAAACCCCACCTCTGTTCAAGGATGCCCACGCTACCACCCCAGGCAGCTTTCTGCCCGTGGACAAAGTAAGTCTGCAACCTCACCAGTGTACTGACTACCCCTTGTTTCCCGTGCACAGGCATGCTGGTGACAAATGCCTTAGTTGAGAGCTAAAAATGTGACCCCAAAATCAAGGACTGCTTTGGGCCAGGAATCTCACAATAGGTTGGGGCTACCTTGGCTTTGGTGAGCCACATTGGAATCTCATCACCTCGGCTGTCTTCTCAGCGGCAGGCTGAGGACCAGGGAGTGCTGCACAATGTTGGCCCTGCCTCCCTTAGCCCCCCCCCCCCCCCCAATCTCCATGACTCAGGACCCCAGGCATCTGGCGAGCCCTGCCAGCCGTCTTCTGGGCAAGAGGAGGGGTGGTTTGGCTCTAGCCTTACCTTACAGAACATGAACTGCTAGCTAAGCAAGGTCTTTATCGAGGCTTAACCCCCGAAAGGTGCGCAGCATAAGGAGGCGGCATGCCAAGGGAAACCCACACAGCAGATGGCCCCGAGGAGTTGGCCTGTGGGGCGGCGGGCGCAGCCTGCGCCAGGGCCAGCCGGGGCAGGGGCTGGTGGTGCACCGTGAAGGAGGGGCGGGAGACCTTGTGTGGAAGGGAGGCGAGCTTGACAGACAGAGAGGCGTTAGCAGGCTGCAGAGAAGCGGCAGAGGAGGGGGGTAAGAAAGCTTTGTTAGCCGGGAGGGAGGCCAGGCTCTGCAGAAGCACTGGCTCGGAGTTAGAAGCCAGCAGCGCAGGTGGAGGAGGCAAGGTGACGTTAGGAGGAGGGGGTGCATGGAGGACAGGTGGCCCCGCAGGAGGCCGGCCCAGGTGCTGAGGAGGAAGTAGGGGAGGTGGAGGGGGCGGCCGAGTCTCGACCGAAGCCGCAGCCTGAAAGGAAGAAGCCGAGGTGCTGGCTGCCGCCTGCAGCGGGCTCAGGCCCAGCGTGGCACTGCTACACACGGCCCCGCTACTGACACCAGCTCCAAACGGGTGAGCAGAGGCAGAAGGCACCGCATGGGTAAAGACACCTGTAAACAGGAGAGAAAAAGCAGCTTCAACAGGCAGCACGATCCAGGCGGGTGGAGCAAGAGGAGCACAGTCGCCAGCAAGGAGAAGCAGAAGACAGCGTGACTCCGGTCCAAGCGCAGGCACAAGCAGCAAGCAGTGGGCTCAGTGCAGGGACACTTACCTGCCAGGATGAGGCCCCGCCCCTCGGGCCCACCTGCCCGCCCCTGCCCAGTCAGGACTGCACCATGCCTGGCCTGTGGCCCAGGCTCAACTCCGCCCTGTCTCTGAGCAGGCCCTCTGGACTCATTCTTGCACCAGGCCCGCTTCCACAGACCGGCCATGAGGCATGTGGGTGGTCACCTCAAACAGGGGATGCCCCAGGAGAAAGAAATGCCTAGTTAAGTGCACCGTGGTCTTCTGAAAACAAGAGGCATGCGTTATAAGGCTAGACAGTCTCCTTCAGTCACACCATGAAGACGGCCAGCAAGGACACAGGGACACACTCCCATTGTATCCTCTAGAGGGCTTGGGAGGGACCTCCCAAGCAGCTGGTGAGAAACTTGGGACTAGACGTCATCCCTTCCTTGCCTACCTCCAACAGTTCCACCGGTCACCCCGGAGGAGAAGCTGCCCATGGTGTGCGAGTTGGTGAGTCGGGGCGCAGCAGATGACACATGCACCAAGCCTGCAGCGGCGGGCACGGTGCTAAACAAGGACTGCAGCACAGAGGAGCCGGCCACAGAGCCCAGGTTGGCCTGCAGGGACATGGGGCCCAGAGTGAACTGGGGCCCAGGGGTGAAGGTGCTCAGAAAGGGCCGGGCAGCCTGGGCAGCAGGTGTTGTACTGCCCGCAGAGGAAGCCACAGTCACTAGACCAGGGCCACCGAGGAGGCCACCCGGAGGCACGGCTGCAGCAGAGATGAAGAGGTTGTGGCCACCCTTGAAGTCCAGCTCACGGTCACGGCCTTTGCCTGCCCTGCTGCCATGAGGCAGTGCAACTTTGTCCGCAGACCCACACAGGGGCACGGCCTCGCCTGACTCCTTGCCTGCATTGCCCTCGCCCTTCAGGCCACCTAGGCCCTCCGGCTGCCGCCTACTGAGGAAGGGATTAGTCTCCGTGGTACTATCCTTGCCCCGCTGTGATGGGAAGCTCAGGCTGGCCACCTCAGGGCCCTTGTGGGAGAGGGAAGCACCGTCGTTGAAGCTGTGTAAACCGAGGTCTGCAGCAAGGCCCCCACTGAAGGCCAGGCCGTTGGGAGGGTTGGCGCCAGGGCTCGGGCCCTCGGCTGCAGTCAGAGAGCCGGCAAAGCTTTTCCTTGGGTGGGCGGGGAGCTTGGCCTCAGCTGCAGGCTCCTCCAGGACCGGCCGGAAAGAGAACAGGGGGCTGTGGCTCAGTGCAGAGCCAGCCTGCAATGGACTGTCCACGGCCTTGGCCAAGCTGAGGTCGGAGATGGGTGAGAAAGTGGACTTCCATTTGCTGCTGTTCACAGGTTCACTCGAGGGTGCAGGCTTCCTTCCCACCAAACCACCACCTGATGGGAGAAATCAGTGGCCATGAGCTGAGCCTGCACTGGGGAAGTGGGCTGTGCCTACCATGGTGGCTGGCACACTTTCTACTAGGCAGAGGTGATGAAGAGGTGAGAGGCTCATGCACTATGAGACTTGTCTTGTCTGCCCCTCCCAACTGTCCATGCACCAGATGCAGTCCCAGGCTGGCACGTCCTGAGCACGGGGCACCCCCACACCTCCTGGCTCCAGGAAGGGAGCACATTACCATTTTCCAGCGTCTTCGGAGGAGATTTGCTTTCTAAGGAGATTGTTGCAATTTTTCTTTCAATTCTGTGCAAAGAAAATAGTCACTGATGTATGAATCTAAGTGCTCAAGAGAGTGTCCAAGGACTCTCTACACGCACAGCTCAACATGAAAGGTCCAAAGGCTGCCCTCTGGTCCCGTGTGGAAGGGCCCCTGAGTAGACCCGGAGTAAGTCTGGGTCATCAGCAGTACTAGGGCCTAGTGTCTGTGCATGGGCTGTTCTGGTGGGGAGCCCAGAATGCCTGTGCACATGGTGACACTATGCATATAAAGCAGGGCGAACTGTAGGAGCTTCCCTATTCTGAGCCTTAGCCAACCTGGAGCTAAATGCAGCAGAGGCCCGGCTCACAGGTGGTACACACATCCACGATGGTCTACAATGGGTCAGTGTATTTGTCAGACCCTTAGGAATGAATGACAGTGGGCAGCGATCTTAGAGCACATCAAAGTCAGAGGCAAGGCGTGACCAGAATTCACACTCGCAGTAGTACCTCCACTGTGACACTCAAAGGTAAGCATGGGACCTAGTGATGCTCAACATTGTCTGCAGTGCAGCCATAATGTAGGTGGCAAAGAGGGGCACGTGATGTCTTTACTCAGGCTCAACACCCAGAAAGTCTCCACAGATACACACAGACCCCACAAGCAGTACTCTACACTGCTCAACAAGAAAAGCAAGGTAACACCCATTGAGAAAATAGCCTTGCACTAGGGAGGTCAGGATTGAAAGATAGCTAACGGAGGCCACTTGGCCACACGATAGCATCTAGTCCAACCATGAGCCTGCAGAGCTGTCCCCTAGAACTCACCGGGTACTGCTGGGCTCATCCTCAGAGCCTGGCTCCTCATCTGAGGTCAGTGGTGAGTAATGGGCCCCATTCGTCAGGCCCAGTGGCCGCTCCTTCCTGAGCACCGGGGGCTGATCGTGGTCCTGGTAGGGGGTCGGGGAACTCTTCAGGGAACTCTCAGGGGATGAGATGGCTGTGATTTCCAGGGGCTGATTGATGTTGCTGACCTGCGGAATCAGGGAGGGCAGATGAGCCACAGGCCCAGACAAGGGTTTCGATGCCAGCTAACCCTTGAGACCTCTGCAGTCACCAGCTCCTTATGAGAGTACAGGTGGGGAGAGAACAGACTTGCACACCAACCACTGTCCCCACCCTGCAGGGACAGGCCCTACACTTACCATGGAGTTGAGGTTGAGGGGAGACCCCGAGGACTGTGAGAAGAGGCCAGCGACAGCTGGCAGAGCCCGGCGCTTGGGGGACACACCCGTGCTAAGGCTGAGGGTTCCCGCTGATGCACGCTTCCTTCTGCTGCGTTTACGACTGTCCTGCCCATGGCTCTGTACAGAATCCCCACGGGTTCCAGAGGTCAAGGGGCTATGCCTGGTAGAAGGCGACTGCTTAGAGCTGGAATTGGCTGCAATGCTGAACACAATCCTCCTCTTAGCTTCATTCTCCGGGTCTGAGACGGCAGGGTCAGAAGGCAGCTCCCCCTTGCTGGTGTCCGGCAGCGGACCTTGGGCAGTCACACTCAGGCGGGGACTGGCCGAAAGTTGGTGGGCAGGAGATGCAGGGCCAGAGTTGCGGGGCTGTGGTAGCAGAGGCGGGTGCTGTGGTGGTGTGCTGCGAGATCCCATGGTGGCAAAGAGGCTGCCAGGGCCAGAGGACTCATCAAAAACAGCAGTTTCCATTCCAGATACCAGAGGCGCTGGGCTGTTGGCCAGGGCTCCACTGATGGCCACCGAACCAGTGTAGAAACCTTTCATGAAGACACCAGTTAATCAAGGGAGGCAAGGAGGCCAAGCCCACTCTAACAACACCTCACCCTGGGAGGAACAAGCTGAGGTCAGTAGCCCCTTCCTAGGGTAGACCAGGGCCATAGCATGGATAAGTGTGGGCAGGCCAGGCCCAGAGGAAGACTGGTTCCCATTTCAGTCATCTGCAAACACCAGGGCACACTGGGTGCTGTCCCTGCTGGGAGCCACCTAAACCTCTAGGAACCAGATGACCTCAGCACAGGACAGCTTTCTGGAACTGTTCCAGACCTTAAGTATCCCTAAAAAAAGTTGCCTGGCCCTGCCCTAGCCCAAAATCAACAGGAGAGAGCTAGAGACTAGTCCCCTGGCTTCTGGTCACACAGAATCCTAGGACTCAAAACCTCAGAGCTACCTGTTGGGTGTTTGTCCCAATGGGATCGTCTCCCCAGAGAACATGGCACCTAGCAGGAAGAGGTCCCTATGTGGTCGGGGGGGGGGGGGGGGTCACCTGTGGGTGCCAGTGTGAGGCTCCTGCTCCCTGCTGCACTGCCCCCTGCACCATGGGCGGAAGCACCAATCTGCTTTTCAAGTGTGGATGAGGAGTCTCGGGGCTGTGGCCCAGGGCTGGGAGTGCTCCTCTGCAAGAGAAAGCCTGCCTAGTTAGGGCAACAGAAGACAGTGGGGCAGGAGGGCTGTGGGCAGGGGGACCCAAGAGGGGATAGAGCTGGGCTAGGCCTGAGAGTTCAAGCAGAAAAGTCAAGTCACAGGGGCTGGAGAGATGGCTCAGTGGTTAAGAGCATTGCCTGCTCTTCCAAAGGCCCTGAGTTCAATTCCCAGCAACCACATGGTGGCTCAAACCATCTGTAATGGGGTCTGGTGCCCTCTTCTGGCCTGCAGGCATACACACAGACAGAATATTGTATACATAATAAATAAATATTTAAAGAAAGAAAGAAAGAAAAGTCAAGTCACATTCAGTTAATGAGGGGTGCAAGAGGCACGGGGTAAGGTGGTCAGATGTCAAGGCCAGCTACAACTACATGGTGAGTTCAAGGCCAGCCCGAGTCACACAAGACCCTGCCCTCAAAATAATGCAGAAGGAAGGCAAGGCTGAGTTTTCCCAGCCTACCCTCTGTGAACATCAGCACTCCTGGGATCCAGCCATCAGGGACAGCAACCCACAGGGCCATGTCAGCCAGTGCTGTTTGAGTGGCTAAAACCCTCTTTGTTGTTTCTTCTCTGTTCTGTTTCTTACAAAACATATCTAGAGCCCAACCACATGGCAACAGGATTAGCTCTGGATGCCCTCTCGCCAGTCCCCGGATGACCACATGCTCAAACTCAACAGCATCCGACAGAGACATAAAGACTGAAGTTGAGCCTGGAGCCCCACCACTGCCAGCGCAACCACAACCATCACAACTACCATGTGGCCCAGCACACTCACCGCCCTCTCAGCACGGCTGGGCAGCACCACACTGGCCAGTGGGATGCTGACGGGCAGCTTGTTGGGCTGCACTGTGCTGAGTGGAATGCTGACAGGCAGGCTGGTGATAGTCTCCCCATGGCTGCTGTAGGCACGCTCCTTCACACCCTGTCAACAGATGGCCATGCTCAGCTGCAGACTCACTGCAAAAGCCATCCTCAGGATATGGGCTGGTTAAGAATGCTGCCCACTCTCTCTCTGTTTCTGAGACCTGTCACCCTGGACTGCCTGGCCTCCCAAATTCCTCTCCATCTCTCTACATACAATGGAGGCCCTAACCCTCTTGGTCCCACTCTAGATCTCCCAAGCAACTGGCTAAATCCTACTCCTGCATGTAAGCACCCGAATCCCAAGGACACAGAACCACCCATGGGAGGCTGACACACCTGCCTCTGCAACCACTCCATGAGGCCTGTGGATGCTAATCCCCATCTCCTCCCCAGGTCCCCAAACTAAACTTCATACATCCCACAGCTGAGAATGCTCTGTGGAGTGAATGCTGCGGTTGCCTGGCCCTTACCTTTTCACTGCCCTTCTCTGAGGTGAGCGGCGAGGTTGCGGGGGAGGCAGGCAGTGGATCCTGGGGGCTGAGCTTCATGCTGTTGGACAAGCTGGGGCTCTGGTAGGGAAGGGTGCTCTCCTTGGCATGCTCTGCCCTGCAATGAGAGGCCAGTCACCCTTGCTGAGTTCACAGCTAGCAGCCCACGCCCAACAGCCCCAGGGCAGCAGACAGTAGCACAGCCCCTAGATACATCTGTGCTTACCGAGGATGTAGCTCACTGGCAGCTGGTTTGCTAACCCCAGTGTGGTCCTGGCTCAGGTGCCGCCTCAACACAATCTTGGCAGGTGACAACCGGGTGTAGTCTGGCAAAGTTAGGCCAGACAACTTTTCTAGCCGAGGCCTGCCACTGTGGCTGGGGGTGCAGGGTACGACCTCCTGATCCAAGGGGGAGGCCAGGTACTGGGGGGTGTTCTGCTTGGACGAGGGCCGACTAGCTGTGCTGCAGAGCTCGTAGCCAGCGGCATGGCCATTCATGGAGAGCTCGGGGCTCATGCTGCTGAGGTGTGGCAGGGAGATTTTGGCACAGTCCAGCTCAAGACGCAACCGCCCAGCATCGGCCTCCAGCTCGCGGCCCAGGGCACCCTTGCCACGCAGATGCAGGGACAGAGCATCATCTGGTGGCACACAGGACTTCAACTGCAGGAGCTCCTGCTGTCGCTGGCTCTTCTCCAGCTCCACAATGCTGATCTACACGATGGGAGGTGTGTCAGAGCAGCCTGGACTCTACTGTGAGGCCACACCCCTGCTGTCTATCATCACAGATGCCCATCTGAGGGGTCTGGTGCATCACCCCAACACCCCACCTGCAGCTCCAGGCAGTGTCGCTGCTTCTCTGAGATCTGGCTCCGCAGGGCCTGTTTCTCTTTCCGCAGGTTCTCCAGAGACAGTGTGGACCAGTCCAGCCTCAGCTCCTCACACCGGGCTCTGAGCTGTGGGCACAGACACAGACAAGATGTCAGCAGCTGAAGGCAGGAAAGCCCGTCTCTCCGGGCAGTGCACTGAATACTTCCTATAGTTGTGGCCCATGGTGTCAATACCCACCCACAAAGCAAGGTGAGAAAGGCATGTGTGACACAGCACAAAGGGTCCTGGTGTGATTAGGAATGGGGTGATCCTTGCAGCATACCTCGGGGCTCCGGCCCTCCATCCTGCCTGTGTACAAACCAGCTGCACCGCCCCCTACACACACACACACACAGACACAGACACACACAGAGACACACAGACACACACACACACACACACACACACACACACACACACACAGAGACACACAGACACAGACACACACACACACACACCAGCTGAAGGCTCTGGCTCCGCAGCTCACTGTTGTCCTTCTCCAGCTGCTCTGACTGCTCCCGCAGCTGCTGGTTGTGGGCAGAGATCTCCTTCTGGGCCTGAATCAGGTCATTGTAGGTCAGCGCCTTCACGCCCAACTAGAGATGCAGAGGACAAACCAGGGTGAGTCCCAGTGCATAGGGAACAAAGGGAACGATAATAACCGTGCAGCTCTGACCTGGGTACAGCCAGGGCCACCCTCTGCTTCCAAGGTGGCCAGCCACTCTATGTCAGTCCTTCCACAAGGGTAAGGGAAGCTCAACTTTGGTCACCCCAGTCACCTCATCCAGTTTCTGCTGAAACAGTCTGTGGATCTCCTCCTTTTGGGTTTGGCAATGACCGAAGAGCTGCTGTGCGGTGTCCAGCAGCTGTGTGTTCTTCTCCTGCAAGGGAGGACAGGAGCAGGTGACCTCAGCGCCCCGTCCCGACTACTAACCCGACTACCGACATTAAGGCGGAGCGCGCACACCTTCTCTTGGTCCAGAAGCTGCTGCAGGTTGGCCTTGTACTGTGGGGTCTTCGTGTAAGCCAGGAACTGCAGGTACTGGATCTTGAAGGACTCTGGAGGTACACATAGCACAGTGTATGAACCAGGACTGATGCCAACGCCCTTCCCTGAGAGGAGCTGGAGTGGTGGCCAACAGAAAGGAACTACCTGACCTGGCCTGCTGCGGGGTCATCCCTGCCTGTGACTTCACCAAGCCCAAAACCCGAGAGCAGATCCCTCCTTCAAGTAAGAGACTTGCCAGCATTCCCCATGGAGTGAACCTCTACCAGGCTCCCCCATGTCCCTGAGGCGAGTCAGTCTCAGTCACTCACAAACAGGCAACAAAGCCTCTTCCACACCACCCAGCAGGCTTGACTAGAGCCCTACCACTTCCACAGCCCCACAGAACTGCTTCAACATCAAAGTCATGACCTACCTAAAAGTTTCTGTAATGCAGGCGGGGTGGGTGCCACCAGCAACGGATTGGGGGAGTGGAGCTGCGTGCTCGGAGGTAGCTGGTAGAACGGGCTATGAGGTGCCCTGTACGCATCTGCAGGACAAAGGATCCCCATCAGTCACCAACCATAGGCCCTATACTACCACAGGCAACACAATACCTCAGCTTGGCAAATCTGAGTCCTGACACTGTTGTGTAGTCACAGGCTTGGCACACAGCAGAATCCAAATGGTGACTCTACTGTACAGGAGCCCACAGTCACTTGGATGGGGACTCTGCCACGCAGGAGAGAAAGAGGCTCACCCTGGGGTGAGGCTGAGGGCGGGGCTGGAGGAGAGGAGTGCAGGAGGTCCAGTGCGCTTTGGCTCTTCTTGGACTTGCGCTCAGCGTTTGCAGCACTCATTTTCTTGGGCCGTCCACGCTTCCGGCCAGCCATTTTCCTCCCTTTCTTGTTCAGTTTCTTCTTCCGGGCTTTGGAGGGAGATGGCTTTTTGACAGTGGCCACACCTGACTTTTCTTCCTCAGCACCAGAGTCCTAGAGGAAATAGGCAGGCAGTGAAGGGCCAGCAGGAGTACCCGCAGGGCGGCACCACTGGGCACCCTGTCTACCAGGCATGTGTAGGGAAGGGCATCTCACCGCGGGGGCCTCCGTGGCAGCTGCCTTGCTCTCTGGGACCTTGGTGGGGGTAGTTGCATTACTCTTGTTCTCTCGCTGCTGCCGGCGCCGAGCTGCTTCCTGCTCCTCCTAAAGGGAAGCAGTGGAAAAGTGTCCTGAACATGCTGGAGGCTCCATCTCCACTCCAGCATCAAAGAAATGGCCACACACACACACACACACACAGACTCTGGGGGAGGTACAATGCCTAACCTGGACCCCACAGCCACTCTGTGGGTAAGGCATGGGCCTGTCATGCGATTGCAGCCCAAGACTGTCCCTGCACTGACAGCTGCAGAACCACATGGCAATGAGAACACATAGGAAATGCCAGCCATCATGGAGACTGCCCCACTAGGCAGGACAGATACAGCCCCTAAACGGCTAGGCAAAGTCAAGCCACTTGCTAAGGGCCTATGCTAAGGGCCAGTGCTGACGTGAACCCTGTACCTGAGCTAACCTCCATGAGGTGCAAACTTGCATGCACCAGTGGAATTGGGGGTTCAGTGGGGGGAGAATTAAGCCCCTCACTGAGTATACACACTGTTCATCATCTAGTATGCTGGGCAGGATGAACTCCTTGGGGGTGTGCAGCAGCCTGCCTACACTCCTGTAACCCTGACAGCCCACCACTTCACCAAGTACCAGCAGACAGAGTGCTGTGCTCTGCTATAAGTGCCCACACAGAGTGAACAGACATCTGTTCATGCCTCCCCAGGGAAAGTCACGTGGAAGCCCAGCTCTTTGTGTCCCTGGACAGACAGGCAAACGTGCAGCACATGTGGCTAGAGAAGGACTGCCATAGAGCAGACTACCCAGTCTTCCAGGGTGCTGGAGACAGGCACCCTCAACTGTTGTACACAACTCTGGCATGGGGATGCACAGCACGATTTAACAAAGAACCCACTGGTAACTGGCATCACCTACAGAAAGATGGATGCTAAACCCACTAGAGAGTTGAGGGCCTTCGGAAAGCCTGGAAGGCAGAAATAACACTTGTTTGGGCCTAGGGACCTTGGTCACACATACCAACAGCACATACAAAGCCAGCAAACATGATCCTCACAGTTGGGAGAAAAGCAAACTTACCCTGAGTTTTGGATTTTTCAGACTAGAAAAATAATTTTCAAGCTAAAGAGAAGAGGAAAGAGCTTTGTTAGAAGCGAGCCCCGAGCACGGACACAGGTGGCGTGTCCCACAAGCTGCCGGGCCCACCAGCACACACTGCAGGTGGCACAGCAGGAGTAATATACAACCCAGGATAGCTACCCTCGAGTCGCAAGTGACTGCTAAGGAACCAGGGACAGGACCTTCCAAGGGGAACACTGGCTGCTACACCGCAGAGGGAACTCACAGCATAGTTCAGGAGTCTTGAGGGCCCCTTTACCTACAGCAGCAAGGGCAGAGCACAGCTGCTGCTGGCTCAGGAGAGCACAGAACAAAAAGCAGAATTGCCAACATGCTGCCTCAAGGAACCCAGAGGGTACCAGGACAGATGGAGAACAGAACCTGGGACCATACACAGAAGGTTCTGGCAAGGAGAAGATACCCTGTGGGGGCCATGAGGAAGAGGCCAGCACATACCCAGGGAAGGCTGGGGACGAGGACAGAAGGGATGACAGAGACCACAGGTCTCTGAATATGATAATATGATGCCAAAACTACTATGGCCCCTATTCATCAGGTGGACTAAGGGCTGAGACCCAGAGCTGCCAGGGAGCTCTGTAGGGTGACAAGCAGGCACACAGAGGCAGCGTGCTGTACTGTAGCACTGTGGGCACTCACTATGGTGCGGTCAATAGTGTGCAGGTAGTAGGAGACGGGCTTCCCAGTCCATGACACGGAGCCCTTCAGGGGTGACAGCTCCACCACACGCATAATGGTGCCGATGTCTGTGAAAGAGCAGCAAGTCAGGACTGTGGCAAGAGGCCTGCGCCCCACACCAGTGTCAACAGCATCCCCAAAGGGAGGAATAATCTGGGGCCTGTCAGGAACAAGGTGGCGAGCACACATGAATGAGATCAGATTTCAAGAGCAGCCAGCATCAAAGCAAGCATGCAGACCCGGAACTGGACCAGCCAAGCGCCTTGCCCAGGGAGACCCACAGAAGGGCTGGCCACCCCATCCTAAGGCCCCTCCTGAAAGAACATGTCTACAAGGGGATGTGCTTAACATACTGTGGGCAGAGGCTGTGGAGCAGCTAGTTGAGTGCCCTCCCTGCAGGGCAGAGTACCATCTGACTGGGCGAGGGGAGCCAGGTACCCTATGCACCACGGAGCCCAGAGCTTACCACTCAAGTTCCTGCTGTTGATCCTGAAGTTCAGAGGGGCAAAGGGCTTTGAGGAGACGATTCTGCCGCCTACAACACAGAAGCCATCACTGCCATGTGTGCAAAAACCCACACAGGCACACACAAGCTGGAGACCACAAACCCAGGCATGAGCAATTGCCCAGGACAGGAAACAGGTGAACAATGCCTGTGCCCAGGAGATGCTAGGCATTCTTCACAAGACCCCTGGTGCTCATCCCTGACCCTGCAGCCATAGAGAACAGTGACTCTACACAGTGGTGACAACTGGGTGCCTGCTAAAAGGGTCATGGTGGAACCCAGTACCACAATAAAGCACAAGAAAGAGATTGCTATAAGCCATGTGTTACCAGGAGGGGGAGCTGAAACAAAGGCACTGAGGAGACCTACAGGCAGTGTAGCACAGTGATTACCCTGGCATTCCAGCAGCTGAGAGAGGGGAACTGTCATGAGTCTGAAGACAAACTGAGCTAAGCAGCAAGATCCCAGTTTTTAAAAAGACACAACAGAGAAAGACCCAGAGATCAGGGCTGAGAAGCTGACTGGCTGCTGAAGCCCTTGAGGCTAGAGAGATGTAGGCAGAGGCCGGGGCAGGAGACAAGAATCAGAACTGCACCACAAGAGGCAAAAGAGCCATGCCAAACCACACAAAGATTCAAACCTGTGACAGCCACACAGGAAGAACAAACTTGAAACATGGAAGTCTAGGTGTGGAGGCACATACCTTTAATCCTAGTATGAGGCAGAGATGGGCAGATCTCTGAGAGTAGTCTAGCCTGGTCTACATAAAGAGTTCCACAACAGTCAGAGCTACATAGAAATCTTGCCTCAAAACAAAACCCAGCCTAATTCTTGTGAATGGTGCAGATTCCTTCCATATTAAAGAGAAGTATTGGGGTGGAAAGGGGAGAATGAGAACATCATGAAGCCCAGGCCAGTCTAGGAGCTCTAGGCCTCCTGCCTTGGCCTGATTACTAGAACAGCCCTGAATCCCACACCCATTGATAGCTAAACAAAGAGACTCAAAAGACCACACTGGCACAGTGATACATGTCTGTCATCCCAGGAAGAGAGAATCTCAATTGAGAAAAATGCCTCCAGCAGATTGACCTGCAGGCAGTCCGTGGGGCACTCACTGTCTTGACTGACTGGTGTGGGAGGACCACCACATGCTCCTGAGGAGTGCAAGAAAAGTAGCAGAAGAAAAGTATCTGAGCCAGAGCGGAGCCAGTCGGCAGTCTTCCCACAAGGCCTCTACTGCTACTGCAGCTCCTGCCCTGCTGTCCACAGATTGCTTTGGTCATGGTGTCTGTCACAGCACAGAGAGCACACTAAACAACACTGCAGCAGTTCACAGGGTGGTCTCTAAGGGCAGGACAGGGAAGGGGCAAAGCAATGCCACTGAAGGCTGGGGCTGGCTGTCATCAGAGCCTGGCCCACCTAACAACTAACTGAGCACACTAGCTCTGAGGGACAAGTTAATCTAGGACTGGATGACTCAGTCAAGATCTGGCCCCAAGCAGGCTAATGTGGTGTATATTGCAATAAACTTAAAGGCCAGCTTCGGCTATATGACTGAGTTTAAGACTAGAATGGATCTAGGCCAGACCCTGTCTAGAATGGGACCGTTTTAAAACATAAATGAACGGATGAAGGAAAGAATATGAGGCAGGGGTGAAGCTCAGTGGGGGAGTGTCTGCTGAGCGCACAAGGCTCATCCCCAGCACCTCAAGTAATTAACTCTAAAAGCCTGGGAGAGGCTGAGGACAGGCCCTACAGCAAATCCCCGTCACTTCTGTGACAGCTACAGGGTTGGGAAATCAGACTAAGAAATCGGCAAGTCTGGGTATTCCTGCTCCCTGCAGAGGGACAGCAATATGCAGTGCAGACGGCCCAGTCCTATGCGAGGGGCTGTGTGTGCTCTATGCAATGCCTTATTCACAAAATCTCTCCATCACCAAAGACTGACGGGCACAAACACATGTGCAGACACATCATGAGCTCACAAGCGAAGAGCCCTGGTGTTGGTGCTTGCAGCAGGAGACTGCTTCTGAGCTGGGTTAGCCCTTCAACCCATCTGCTGGCTGTCTGGGGGTACGCTTGGCACCAAGGCCTTCAGTCACCGGGACTCACTTCTGCTGTGCAGCCTAGGAGCTGGGGATGGGTAGCAGGAAGCAGGTGGGGCCTGGGGCTTCCATGCACTACCCATCATGAATAGGGAGGATCGCTGAGGACCTCTCAAGGCAAACTGATGTAACTGCATGTTCCCCACCCCCACACTGTGGGAATAGCAGGCCCGTGGGCAGGAGGGCTGCATTACCTTCCTTCATGTTTGCGAATCGCTCCTTCAGCTGGTGATCCACCTCAGGACCAAAGGCAAAGTTATTCACAAATATAACACTGCAAAACAATGTTTCAGTTCAGTAAAACTGAGGCTGTGCACATCAAGTCCCAGCCTGGACACAGCCTGCTGCTGGTCCCTGCCAGGTGCTGCGCCCCCTCCCCCGCCCACCCATCTGAGGTGAGCAGAGTAAGCAGGAAAGCAGGGGCAGGAGACAAGCACAAACCGCCTGGGCTGAATCCAGCACCAGGCGCCAGTTCTTCTGAAATAAAATGGGCTTCCCGGAAGCACTCCCTGGCAACAGAATGCAGGGAGAATCTGCTCCCAGGGCACAAGCAAACGCAAGCACTTGATGAGCAGGCACCACCCCCCAGCAGAAAACACAGAGGTGAGGCCCCAAAACACCTAGATCCCCTGATGGACCCCATGACGAGGACGGCAGTTTGCTCAAGGGGACCAGCACAGGGGCTGCCCACACCCCATGTGAGACCAAAGGCAGGCCAGCACCGAGGAGGGGCTGGCACTTTTGAAGCAGCAGCCCTGCAGTACCCTCCACAAGAGTCAGACAAGAGTCAGAGGCCACAGCACAGCCAGCAGCACAGCCCACAGCCGGCCGTACCTCGTGTTGGCGATCCGTTCCCTCCACTCCTCTGAGAGGAAGTCACCTCGTTCCAGCTAAGAAAGAAAGGAACACGTTTACTCATGGGCTTGCTTGGTTCAAACCCAGTCCCCGCAGCTGCTGTGAGAGACATGGAATGAGCTGGATCTTGGGGTGGGAAGGTGACTGTGGACAGCCAGTGGACAGCTCTGCAGAGGGCAGGGCCTAAACCCCAGCAGGAAGCAGCACCCATTCGGGACAGACAAGAGGATAGGATAGTGTGGGTCCAGGTGAGGAGCCACAGTGCCATGTGCTTGGCCAGCCAACCCTCTCTGCATCCAGACTGTGCCCCCCCCCCCCCAAAAAATAGCAGCACCACACAGAACTTCTGCAGACCTTACAGACATGAGATGTATTTATGTGGCCAGGAAGCCACTGGATCAACCGTCCTGTGACTAGTCATCAACCATGAGGACTGTGTCCGCAGATAAGGTCACCTCTGTGCACCTTGCATTAGTATATGTTTGCTGCACACTGATCCCAAAACTGCAGCCTGCCACGACCGTGTCAGCACTGATGTCATTCCACCTCCTTCAGGCCAGAGTGTGTTAAAGGGAAACAGTTTTTTTTTTCTCTCCCCTTTTTTTCTTTTCGGTTTTTCAATACAGTAGCCCTGACTGTCCTGGAACTCATTCTGTAGACCAGGCTGGCCTCAAACTCAGAGATCCACCTGCCTCTGCCTCAGGGTGCTTTTATCCTGACTACCTGGAACCAGACTCCCAAGCAATCTGGGTTTACAATTCTGCAGACCACCCACTACCTGCAGTGCTACGCATTATGGCCCAGGAAAAGAACAGTCCACTCTACATGGAGGTCATGGAGGTGGGGGTGGGATTGTTTAGTTGTTTACAAAACCAAAAAGACAGGGACATTCCTGAAAAGATGGACAGATATACAGCACAGTCTGTCCATTGTCAAAGACGCCACACTGGGCTGGAAAGTTCCTTGGCAATGAACAGGAGCAAAGATCTGATGCACTACCCCGCGAACAACACAACAGGCAAATCTCCTGAGCAGAAGTGGTGGATCTACGCGTATCAGAGGCTAAGGGATGTCAACCATGGGTAACACCAAAGGCCCACACTGGAGTCCCCATGAGCTGTGGCTGACAGGATGACAGAGCACCCGCCAAGCTGCAGGTCCAGGGCTACCTCCCCACTCTGCTAGGACAAGACTGTCCCCAGACAAGAGCAGCTGTACAGCCTCCGTCCTCCAGTGAGGCAGAGCGGACCTGGGCTGGAGTGGCCAGAGCCCTGCGTGCCCCTGGAGGCTGTACAGTCCCTGAGCCTACCCCAGGCCAGGGCCCGCCTCTCCTCTAATCTACTCCTCAGCAACCTCTGACTCTGTTCTGCTGTACATCAGCCAGCCCTGAAGATGGGGACTTCAGTCATTCCTCAAATGCAGGGGAGCAGTTGGGCCTAGGAGACCTGGGCTCCCACTCTCCCCTAAGTTAAGCACTGTGGCAGAGACCATGCCTCCATCTGCCATGCTGCGGAGTCTGAGCTAAGCAGAGAAGCCATGTCCCTTTAAGCCCTGGGTACTGGGTCTCTGCATCTCTAGATGAGAACGACCTACAGCGTGTTCTAAGACTCCTAGGAAGAACTCTGCTCCAAGACAGGTTCCAAAACCACAGAGAAACCCTGCCTCGAAAAACAAACCAAAAAAAAAAAAAAAAAAAAAAAAAAACTCTGCAAGCCCAGATGGCCTCCCTAGCTCTGCTGACTGCCTTTGCCGTAGCTGACCGCTAGGTCCTGCAACATGGCTGCAGACAGGCACAGGCGCAGGCTGGCTCCATTCCAGGAACCTGAGGGGTGCCTCCTGAGGACAGACCTCTCACCCTGCAGCTGTGTCATGTGTGGACCCAGCATTCCTCTCCCTGCAGGCCCTAGTACTACTGTCCTAGCCAAGCAGGCCATGAAGTTTGGGGAGTCAACTAGCTGCACCGTGTGTGAGGCCAGTCCTAACCATCTGGCCCAGGACGGAAGCACAGGCCTGAAGCAAGGTGTCTGCTGCTGTGTAGGAAATCTCCATACACTCCACCCTGCAGGGAGGCCCCTTCAGACAGGAAGTCCCTGAAAATGAGCGGATGTGCTGGCCCCTCCCTCCCCAGGCATACAGGAGCAGTAAGGACTGCTGAGAGACACTGTCACACCAACCAAGACACCTGGGAGAGGCTTAGGTCTACTGAGACACCTGGAAAGGATGCTCTCCAGCCTGTCATGCTGCCTTAGGCCATGCAGTGCATTCCAGATTCCCAGCTTTGTAAGCTGTCACCCATGCTGGGGTGGGTCTTTGTGATGCAGCTGTCTGTGAGTCATTTCTGCTTCTGTTAAGTGTCCCCTCACCAACACTTTCTGTAAGTAACCCCTGGAAAACTCGAGAGTTCTCCAAGCTGAGCTCTGTTGGTTCCCTATCTGGGAAACATTTGTTCATATCCCCTAAGGAACAGTGTCACAGCTGCATCTACCAACATGGAAAAGGAGGGGAACAGCACACAGCAGGTTAGCATCCATGAAGCAAGTGGGGAAGACTGACACAGGCCCCACACGAGTCTGGGGAAGGCCAAAAAAGGTCACAATGGGTGAGACCCAGGAGGCCATGGTCAGACACAGACTCAGCCATTGCGAGAACCCATCAGCTCAGTCTGGAGAGCAAACGAGCAGAGGCACTAAGGTCTGTGGACAGTCTCAGACGCATGCCCCATGGGTATGCCTCAGCAGGACTGGTTGCCCACAGGACACCTCAGCAAGCTCTAAGCAGCATTCTAGGAGTATAGGCTACTCTACTCTCTTCCAGGGTCAGGGGTCAAAGCCCAGAGACCCCTCTGAGAAGATGAACTGCATACAAAGCTATACAGCCACGGCAGCCTAGGCAATGGGAAGGCAGGCACACTCTGAATACAGGAGGTTTTACCAAGACGGGGAATGTTAGGAAACACCACCAGCAGAGATGACCATGGTTCAGGGTCTGCTCCAAATTGGCTAAGGGACCATAGAGGATGAGGGAGGGGACTACCAGACTCAATTCAGCCACTGGAGGGAGCATGTCAGCAGACCTGGCTTGGGGCAGCATCCAAGAGGCCACTGCATGGCGGGTGGCAGCATCCCTGGCACAAGGCAGTTCTGGGCCAAAAGAGTCCTCTGGGCTATTTTTAGGGTCCCCTGGATTTTCTCCTGCATGCTCCTGAATAGCAGAAGGCAGGGCTCAGGGCTTGCAAAATCAAAGCTGCAGTACTGCACAGGCCAGGCAAGTGCCTAATGGCCAGGAAAGGAGCCTATGCAGCCTCCTGGAGAAGGTTGGTGGTCACTCAGGTGCTGTAGGAAGCCAGAGTGAACACAATCAAAGGCAAAAAAGTTGCTTTCTATTTCTGCTGCCAGGTTGCTTCTGATGGTTATCAAGGCCTCAGGAACACCCCTTAGCCTTAGCCCTGCTCCCAGCCACAAGCCAAGGGCCACCAGCATGAGCACTGAGGCCCATGAGGGCCCAACAGTGAAACAGCCAATATGACAAACAGCTACCAGTCACAACACTGGCTTCACCCACAAAGGCCAGGTCATCCAACAATGACAAACAGCAGCAGAAGAAGAAGCAGAAAGAAGGAAGAGGGAGAAGAAGAGAAAGAAGAGGAGAAAGAAGTAGAAAAAGGAGGAGGAAGAGGAGGAAAGAGAAGGAGGAGGAAAAAGAGGAGGAGGAGGAAAAAGAGGAGGAGGAGGAGGAGGAGGAGGAGGAGGAGGAGGAGGAAGAAAAGGAAGAGGAGGAGGAGAAGGGTCTTCTTGAAAGCTATGTCCTCGACCGAGAACTCTACGTGGGTGTAGAACCCACAGGCCCCACCGAAAGTGTGAAGAGTCATCACGGTTAATGATGAGGAGAGCACAATGTCTCAGGAATCCAGACCCATCTCCTGGGTCCCAGACACAGTATCAAGTGGGCCTCTCCTAACAGATTCCCAAGACCCTCACACATGGGAGACTTCCACCAAGAAAACACGAGTGAACTGGGATTATTGAAGGACGGGTGACACACAGAGCAAGACAGAGTTATCGCCGAGCGGTCCGCTGCACAAAGGACACAGGCACCACAGACTGCCTCTCCCAGCCAGCCCACAAAATGGTCTAACCAGATCAAGAACCCAAGGGTCCCAATCCCGATGCCACAGGCTACACAAAGGTGCAGCTCATTAGGGGTGCACTTGCCCGGTCTGGAGGTCTCAGCTCCTTAGAGTTGAGCATATGCTGACACAGCCCAGTTACCACATGTCTAGGGATGATGCCCGGGCCAGGGAAGCAGGAAGGGCCAGGCTCAGTTGGGGCTCTGCAGCTAGCTCCAGAGACTGTGCCCATTGCCACAGAGGGCCATGTGGTCACTGCTCAAGACTGACTGGGGTCAAGAGAGGAGGGGAAAGGGGGCTGGGCTAGGATGGAGGCCGCGGGCATGGAGCGATGGCACTCACTGTGTATTCTGCATGCTTTTTTCCATACCATTTCATCCACTTCCTGAACTCTCGGTCCATGGTCTGAGGAAAAGAAAGCACACAACGTTATAAATTCAGGAAGGCTGAGGCGGTGGAGGGTCCACAAGCTCTGCAGGGTCATACCAGACAAGACACTGATGCCTATCTACAGCGACCCTGCTGTGGAGCACAGTGGTCGGGGCACCCAGAGGGGCTATGGGATAGTCACAAGGTTCCCAATACTCCAGCAGAGCCCCAAGATCAAGAGCCTGAACCCCACCCTGGGAGGAAAAGATGGAGTGTCCACAGGAAATATGCACACCCTCTCAACTCATAGGAGCTCAGCAACATTCTCTCTCCAGGAAGGGTTGGCCATGTCCTGCCAGGAGAGCAGAATGTCCTTATCATGAAGCTCTGCAGAGCCTACCAGGGCCACAGGCACCCTGCTCGAAGGTGCTGGGTGTCACAAACACAGAAACACTTGGCCTAAAGGAGCTCTACCCAGACACAAGAGCCTGAAGCACTGTGCACACGTGACTGCTCACCTCCGCGTACTTGGCTGGGATGTCCGCTTTCTCCACTCCGTAGTGATGTTTGCAGTTGGTGGCCGCAGCAACCTGAAGGACAACCTGCCCCACACCTTCAGCCAGAGAGACACAGGTCAGAGTCTGTGTGGCCCCCACAGAGACCAGTGGGCTCAGCCACATGACAATGTCCCTTGGCATCAGAGAAGAGACCATTCACAAGCACAGACCTCCCAGCAGAAGATGTTTGCACTACTCTACAACCCATAATGTCATTTATGAACCTGCAACCTGTCTGCTCCTGTGTGGGGATGGCTGCACAAAGCTTAGCAGTCCCCAGGAAGTCACTTCTTCACATAAGTCACCCCCTGGGCCAGCTAGGACCCTGAACCTAACAGGTCTGCTTGACGATGGGAAACAAAATAAAAAATCCAGAGGCTATAACCGCCAGCGACTGGCACCTGCTGGCCATACGCAGGGAAGTCAGGCCTGCCAACACTGCTTCATGGCATCAAGGGTCAAGCCTCTGAAGGTGACCCTACACGTGGCAGGCCAGTTTCACATTTGAGATGGCACATACATGCCACCTGATTTTCTATGCTGGGAAGTGTTTTCCAGTAACAAGCAGCTCAGAACCATAGAGTAGAGAAGCCAGGAGACACACCACACAGTGCCACAGGAGACATAAAGCCTGGACAGGGGCATCCCCTCCACAGTTTAGTAGGGTGAGTCCCAAAACTACAGTGCCTCGGGAGGGGCTCTGAAAGGTAAGGGACCCAGGAGGCTCAACCTTCAGGGTTGGACCAGCAGCTAATAAAAGAACTGCAGGTGTATCTGGGCCTTTTCGAGCCTTTACCATGAGGTATGGGAAATAAGTCCTATGCTGGAGAGTTTTATGTCAACTTGACACAAGCTAGAGTCATCTGAGAAGAAAAAGACAATGTTTCCATAAAATCATATTGGAGGAAAACTTGGGGCATTGGGATATCTCCCCCCCCCCTCGATTTTCAAGACAGCGTTTCTCTGTGTAATAGTCCTGGCCTGTCCTCTATAGATCAGGCTGGCCTTGAACTCACAGAGATCCACCTGCCCCTGTCTCCCTGGGATTAAAGGCATACACACACCTGGCACATTTCATTAATTAGTGACTGATGGGCAAGGGCCCAGGTCAGGGAGGGCCCAGCCCATTGTAGGTGGAGCTATACCTAGGATGCTGATTCTGGGTTCTATAAGAAAGCAGAATGAGCAAGCCATGTGGAGCAAGCCAATAAGCAGCATCCTCCATGGTGTCTGCCATCAGTTTCTGCCTCCAGGTTCCTGCCCTGTGTGAGTTCCTGTCATGACTTCCTTCAGTGATGAACAGTGATGTAGAAGGATAAGACAAACAAACCCTTTCCTCCCCAGGTTGCTTTAGGTCATGGTCCTTCACCGCAACAATTGAAACCCTAGTGGACACCATCAGAACCACAGCCAGCCATGTAGGCAGTCCAGCAGCCCCACGAGTGAGGCTGCAGAGTGTGACCAGAGGCCTCAGGAATACTGCTCTGGTTGAGAATCCCACAAGCCAAGACCCATGGGTCATAAGAAGGTTTAGGGGCTGTAAGGAGCCAGCAGGATTTTGGGTGGACGCCCTGAGCAGGAGCACTAGTGGTACCAGAAGCCTCGGCTAAGCCAGTGTCCGCCCTAAGAAGTCCCTTGAGCATTCATGTGCAGACAAGGGTGCACTGAGAGCCAAGGACAGCTCAAGGACTGCTACAAGACACTCACCACTGCCCAGGTCTACAAACAGGTCATCCTCAGTCATCTTGATCTCGTCGATCATCTGGGCGACCAGGTCGAAGGAGGTCTCCCCATACACCTCAGGGGAAAAGGGCTCATAGTTGTTGAGCTTCTCAGGGTCAGTCACAGAGTGGTTGTACACCTGCTGCAGGATGTGCCGCAGGAGCCCATTGGAAGGTCGAGTATTTAGCTTCATGGGCTGCGTGGTGCCCTTCCACTGGGGACAAAAGTAGACATGACCAATTACACTTCACAGCAGACAGAAATCCTGTATCAAAAAGGTCACCAGGTGGTGTGGTAGCGGATGCCATTAATCCCAGCAGAGGCAGACAGATCTCTGAGTTCAAGGCCAGCCTGGCTAACAGAGCTAGTTCCAAGACAGCCAGGGCTGTTACACAGAGAAACCCTGTCTCAAAACAAACACAAAAGGGGCTGGAGTGTGGCTCAGTGGTAAAGAACCTACTGAGGCAGTCCCGAAGACCACAACAGAAAACAACACAGCAGCGCTGAGTGTGCCTGTGAGTGCACAGAGTCAGCTCTGGCCTCCAGGCTTCTGTCTGACCCCTCCAGGCCAACTCAGGCACTTCATCTATGTTACTCACAGAAGGTCAACTCCAACTGGACCTGGTAAGCTTCCTGGCCTAAGCCCAGTCCTGGAGTCCCAGGAGCCCTTCCTGACTCCAGGCTCCCTGGCAGGTACACCTCCTCCCAGGACATACCTCAGACTCTCTAGCGTTGGGGCAAGGTCTTGAACTTACGTTCACAAGAAAGCAGTGAACAGCTGCAGACTCCAACTGCAGTCTCAGGCTGGCCTTGGAATACACATTGGCACATCCTGGCACTCATCTACTGACCTTAGCCACCAGATCAAATTTCCTCAGGGGAGAAGGGCTCAACCCCTTGGTCTCATAGCCATGGACACTCTACCAGCCACAGCACTGGCACAGGATGTGACGAGACTGGATAGTACATCTGAAGGGCCAGGCCCCACGCCTCTTGCTGCCCCACAGGAGCCCTAATGCAGCTGATACAGCTGGTGTTCCACCGGTACAGAGATGAGGGCAGAACCAGTGCCCAGTGGGCCATCCCTGCAGAGCTGCATGAGTGTCTTAGCTCAAGGAACCATGAAGCTATCCTGTCCCAGCCCAGCCTCTCCACACAGCCCATCTTCCACAGAGTGTTCCCTGACACCACAGATCCCCATAAAGGCCCAATACCTGCTAAAAGCCCCACTGCCCCTATGCCTTCTAGAAAGACCACTCCCTGGGTGCTCAGTGGTCAAGCTCTGCTGCCTGCACCCAGTTTGTCAGCTAAGGTGGGCAGGCTGAGCATAGCTTTATGTGACTACTGTGAGGACACCGCCTCCCAGCAGGTGGAGCAGACTAGAAAATATTAGAGCAGAGGCCACAGGCTCAAAGACAGCAGCAGGGCAGAGGGAGGTAGGCTCCTAGTTCCAAAGGGTGCTGACTGCACCTCTGCTGCAGCATGCAGAGATGGGCAGATATGCAATGACCACAAGAAGTTACTTCAGAAGACGGCTAGGGTAGCTGGGGCTTAATATACTGCCATACAACTCCCCTGTCTCATCATGCCAACTGCCCTCCCCACCACTCTTTGACAGCAACCAGGAGGTCCTAGTGCTTGACTGCCCTGGGAGGTCCAGGAGTCAGCATCATGCAAACGCACAGAGGAAATTGAACAGCCTTACAAGTATGGAGCCACCTACCAGCTGGTGGATGCTGTCGATGGCTCGGTTGTACTTGTCACACAGCCTCTGCATGCTTTCAAAACTGAGAAAGAAAGAGAGGAAGCGTCAGTGGGCTGCAATGTGCCCAGCTTTCACAGACTTGTAGGGCTGGGCAAAGCCTCTAGGGAGGCATAGGATTCCCGAAGCACCAACATGGCAGGCCAGCAAGAGGCTGCATGCTGAGACAGTCTCCAGCCACAGGACCAAGTGCAAAGGCAGTCTGGACAGGTCTATATCCATGTGTCAGCTCTATGGTCAGACCATGTCACTAGATGAGGAACTCAAGGAAAGTCACTATGAAGACTGGACTAGGGTTGGAGAGGCGGCTCAGTGATCAGAGCTCTCATAGAGGATGCAGGTTGTGCTCCCAGCACCCACATGGTGACTCACAACCATCTCTATCTCTAGCTCCAGGGGACATGACTCCCTCTTATGACCCCTGTGGGCACTGCTCACACACAGGACACAAACATACAAGCAGGCAAACATTCACACTCAAAATAAAAATAAATGAAAATCGTTTTTTTTTTCTTCTTCTTCTTCTTCCTTTTTATTTTGGTTTTTCAAGACAGCCCTGGCTGTCCTAGAACTGGCTCTACAGACCAGGCTGGCCTCACAGAGATCCACCTGTCTCTGCTTCCCTAGTTCTGGGATTGAAGGCATGGGCCACCACACACAGCCAAATGAAATCTTTTAAAAAGGAAACAAGCAGAGCCGGGCGATGGTGGCGCACGCCTTTAATCCCAGCACTCGGGAGGCAGAGGCAGGCGGATCTCTGTGAGTTCGAGACCAGCCTGGTCTACAGAGCTAGTTCCAGGACAGGCTCCAAAACCACAGAGAAACCCTGTCTCGAAAAACCAAAAAAAAAAAAAAGTAAACAAGCAGAGTGCCAAGGAATGTGTGGGCAGAGGAGCCCATCAGTCTCTGAACACCACATGCAGGAATCTGTATCTTCTGAGACAGGCCTGGGGAAGGATGGCTCAATTAGGAACTGCCTCTGGGAAGACTCCTGCACACTTCGAGCACTAGGTGAGAAAATACCGAACTCCCATTTTGAAGGCAGGAGCCATTACGCTTCGCTTTTAAAAATAAGTGTCTATTTACTGTGAGAGTTGAGTTGCTCTGTTTCCTGGAACCTGACCTTCCTCAATCCATGATCTTCATTTGTTTATTTAGAATACCCTCACCGCCGGGCGGTGGTGGCGCACGCCTTTAATCCCAGCACTCGGGAGGCAGAGGCAGGCGGATCTCTGTGAGTTCGAGACCAGCCTGGTCTACAAGAGCTAGTTCCAGGACAGGCTCCAAAACCACAGAGAAACCCTGTCTCGAAAAACCAAAAAAATAAAAATAAAAATAGAATACCCTTACCCTCCCTGACCTTCCCACCCCCCTTAATCACATGATGACCATGAGAATTTTTTTAAAGGTCTCTTTGTATTTCCTTCTTGCCCCATTGTCTCCCTTCTATAAATCTATGAGTGATTTTATTCCTTAAAGAGGGTCTAAGAGGTGGATTAGGGGCTGCTTTCTTTAACTTGACTTCGGAGGCAGTCGCTGGCCAGCTTTTGCGTGCACTGCAATAAAAATCAAGCTTGCTTCAAAACTGACCCAAAGTGGTCTTATTCTCACTATTGAGATTAACACAGGCAGCAGAAGCATAGTTCTGGGGACAAGGGACCACTCCATCCCTATATGCCCAGGGGTAGGGCCTTTGGGGTACTAATACACACAGGAAACTTCCTCCCTACCGAGGCCCTAACACTCCAGCATGCTACAGTGTAAACCAGGATGGGCCAAATCAGTGTCTTACTATCCCAGAAGAGACCCAGGCCAGCAGCAGTCACAGGACAAAAGAAGGGCTCCCAGACTGCTGGTACTACAGAAAAGCCAAAGCACACACAACCGCAGTCCTAGCTATTTATGAGTTGAGTCTCATGAGTTCAGCAGTTTGAGGTCAGGCTAGGTGAGGTACGAAGGCCCACTCTACTATCAATGGGACTGAGGGGTCCACATGCAAGGCCCTGGTAGCATTCCCTGCAGAGCAAAAAAAAAAAAAAAAAAAAAAAAAAATTCCTAGAGGTCTAGGAACTTCTAGGGTATGAACTCAAAAGCAGTGAGAAGGGGACCACCCCAACTCCACAAGGACAGAGGGCCCTGCCCTGGTCGCCCAGCTGTCCACCTGTCCTGATCATACACCAAAAAGGTAGGTTTTCGTGCCCTGTGGGTCCAGAGAAGGGACCTGTGGCACAGGAGGCTTACACTCACTTACCCAGATGCTAGGCCCACCCAGAAGACTGGTCCAAGGTCACCAAGGCGACCTTTCTGATAATGAGGTCAGAGGACTTGCAGGCAGAGTCCAGACTGAAGCAGGCTCTGAGCAGGAGGTGGAGCCTGGGTTGGCCTTTCTCAAAGGAAAGTAAACCTCACACCAGGCAGCATTCCAGGGATGCCATCTCTTCTCCACCCATTCCGTCCAGGAGAGGGTGTGACAGAGACTGGCCTCCCCCCACACCTACTTACAGTCAGGGCTGAGAATACCTGTAAAGTAGACCCTGGCAGAACCAGGACCCGCTCGCTGCTCTAAAAGGCCCTTAGCTCCCTCACCAGCCCTGCTACTTTCCCATGCATCAATTCAAGTTTGTTCAGTGTGGAGTTCCCAGGGATGGCCTCACTCCACCAGCTAGAAGCTTTACACAGATGGTTGGCCAGGGTGTGGGCAGTCAGGAAGTAGAACCAACAGTCCACTCACCCTCTTCCGGCTCACCTTTTGGTGTCATAGTCGATCAGGACATAGTTCTCCATGGCCAGCTTGAGATCTGGGATTTCCTCACAGACCCACCTGAAATGGAACACAGAGCTTCTGTTGGCCTAAGCCCCATTCTCTGGATTCGGGGGAGGGGACTACTGTGAAATGACACAGATTTTATGAGACCAAGGTCAAACTGTGCTGGCACTTGGAAAAGAAACAAATTCATGTGTTAAAGGGTAAAAGTGATTGTGCATAAGCCTGGGGGCTTACACAAGATGGAAGAAGGAACTCCACAAAGCTGTACTCTGGCCCCATCATGTACTGAGGGTTGTGCACACACACAGACGTACCACACAAACACAGTAATAATAAAGACTTTGGGGGAAGGGCTGGGTCTGGAAGAAAGATAAGGGATTCCAGGCCATTCAAGGCTACAGTTCTGTTCAGGACCAGCCTGGGATACACCAGATAGTAAAATTCATTCACTGGTTTTTGAGACAGGATTTCTCTGTAGCTTTGGAGACTGTCCTGGAACTTGCTCTTTTACTTACTAATTTATTTGAACTTGTCATTTATTTACTTATTTGTTTGTTTGTTTGTTTATTTAGGTTTTTCAGGACAGGGTTTCTCTGTGTAGTTTTGGAGCCTGCCCTGGAACTCACTCTGTAGACCAGCCTGACCTCGAACTCAAGAGATCCACCTGCCTCTCTCTGCCTTCCGAGTCCTGGAATTAAAGGCGTGCATCACCACCACTCATTTAAAATTTCGTTGTTTTTTTTAATTAATTTATTTATTTATTGTGTATACAACATTCTGCCTCCGTGTATGCCCACACACTAGAAGAGGGCACCAGATCTCATTACAGATGGTTGTGAGCCACCAGGTGGTTGCAGAGAATTGAACTCATGACCTCTGGAAGAGCAGCCGGTGCTCTTAACCACTGAGCCATCTCTCCACCCCCTAAAATTTAGTTTTTTAAATCATTTTTTTCTTTTTCTTTCTTTTCTTTTTTGAGACAGGTCTCCCTACACAAGCTGACTATCCTGGAACTCACTATAGAGATCAAGACTTTACTTTCTGAGTTCTGGGATTAAAGATCTATGTGTCATCATGCCCAGTGGTAAAATAAAATTTTTAAGAATTAAAAAGGGGGGGGGTTGGAGAGATGGCTCAGAGGTTAAGAGCATTGCCTGCTCTTCCAAAGGTTCTGAGTTCAATTCCCAGCAACCACATGGTGGCTCACAACCGTCTGTGACAGGGTCTGGTGCCCTCTTCTGGCCTGCGGTCATACACACAGACAGAATATTGTATACATAATAAATATTTTAAAAAAAAAAGAATTAAAAAGGGAAAGGGGCTGGAGAGATGGCTCAGCAGTTTAGAACACTGCCTGCTCTTCCAAAAGTCCCGAGTTCAATTCCCAGCAACCACATGGTGGCTCACAACCATGTGTAATGAGGTCTGGTGCCATCTTCTGGCCTGTAGGCATACGTGCAGACAGAACACTGTACACGTAATAAATAAATCCTAAAAAATATATAAATGTTAAAAAAAAAGATTTAAAAAGAGGGGTATCCTACGTTGAAAGTTGTAGAAGGCTACAATGGCAAGGAGCGCCAAGAGGAAAAAGCCCCGTTCACTGTTCAGTGGCATCTTCCATGCTCCCCAGATTCTTCCTCTATTCCACCCTGAAGCACATCCGTCCCAAAGGCTGCAGCAGGATGAGGTGGACCCAGGCCCACAGGGGTCATAGGACCTCAGGTGCAGCCCTGGCCTTCCACCTTGACAATCTCCTGCATGCCACCGCCTGCACCCAGCTGCCTGGCCCATGAGCTACCCGACTGCCGCTCTGCTTTTCAGCATCATGGTGGCTGGTGGCTCGCCAAGTCCAGCTGGATGGCCTCTAGCAGTCAGAGCACTGTCCAGGGAACTACAGTGATACAATCTGGTGATGCATTGGACCTGTCTGCTGGCTGCAGGAAGAAAAAGTGCTAGGGTGGCCCCTGAGAGGGTACGCATCTAGGTCTCTGTCTCCCACCTTCTCTGACCTGCTGAGGTGGAGGAGACAGGAAAACACCTGCCCAGAGGCCCACCCCCCCAATCCCAGATTGTCTTGTCTCTGGGCCTACCCCATCCTTCTCCAGGTTCTGTTCCACCTGCAGCTCCCATCTCAACCCACAAAAATGTCTCAGCTTTCACTACCAGACTTTCAAATGTTTTAAAATTATTCTTAGTGCATGGGGGTGGGGTTGTGTGTGTGCACTAGTGGGTGCACAAGACAGGGCAGCATGTGTGCCACAGAACACCCACATCTCTGGGGCTCAGAGGACGTCCACAGATGGTCCTCTCCTTCAATCTCCACAAGGGGTCCCAGGGATGACACTCAGGTCCCCAGGCTAGCAACATAAGTGCTATACTCACTGAGTCAATTTACGAGCCTCTTCACAATGTTATCTCCGAGTCTGAGCTCGTAATGGGAATCTAACCTGTACAGGGTCTCAGTTTTGTGGGTGTACTGGGCTTTTCTCCCAATAGTCTATGCCCACTATTTTGGGAGCTTCAGAGGGCAGAAGCTCCTAAAGTAGGACACCAGAGCCAACCCAACAGGCAGCCGCCCTGGCATTGTGTCTCTGCAGGTATCAGGACGGAGCCCCCCCCACACACACACACACTCAGCAACATCAGACCTTAGTGGGCCTCACAAACTCCTATCTTTCTCCAATTCCCCCAAAGGTAGGGACTAATGAAGGAGACAGGACAGCACAGAGACACTTCCCCAGCGCCATCTCACAGGAGGCTGCAGGCAGAGGCTGAACATGAGACCTGACTTATCCCTGCCATGGCAGGGGAACAAACAACTGAGGTTTTCTCTGACAAGCACAGTGTGTGGCAAGGGCTGTGGCAGGCTGCCCTGCAACTTGATGCCCTACACTACTAGCCACTTGAGTGAGGACAGCCTCAGGAAGCAGGTCACTTGGCCCCCGTGCCCTCCCCCTCCCCTTACCCCACTCACCGGATAGTCTCGATAATCTCATGAGCAGCATCGTGGTGCTTGTCCTGAAAAACAAAAGGCTGCAGAGTGGGCTCCAGGCAACCACACAGTGACACCCCACTCTTGTTCTGTGGTGCACAGCCACAGCACCTGGACCCCACACATTCCCCAGAGCTGGAGCCTGACTCAGAGCATTCTCTCTCTGCAAACCCGATAGGCGTCAGCAAGTCCTACAAAGTCCCATTGGGCCAGTGTCCCCATTGACAGAATGGGAAGCAGACATCACAACCACTGCATCACTGTGCTGTGCCTGAAATCAAGCCTGGTCCCAGCAAGACCACTCAAGGCCAGATCTCAATTTGTCCCCATTAGATGAAGCCCAAGGATGATGCCAATGACACTCAAAGACAAAGGGAAGAACAGCAAAAGGAAACAGGAAAAACAATGCTACCTCCCACCCACCTCAGCTGGCCAGTAGCCCCTATGAGCTTTCCACACACCCCTCACTCACTGCACACTAGACTAAGACCTTTGCCAGCCCCAGCTCCATCACGAAAGTGAGCTGCGGGATGATGAAGGCCACAGGTAACGGCGCCTCGTGAGAATGGATACCCAAACACACAAACACCATGTCTAGGTTCCCTCCCAGCTCTGCCAAAGGCCTGGTCATCACCCCCTGCCACAGAGGAGTTATAGAATTCCAGTGCACCCTGTCCAGTACCAGTCACAGGTCACAAGTGACAAAGAACATTTAACATAGGCCCTGAGTGTCCCCACAACCCTAAGTCTCTAGACAGTCTCCCACTGTGGTTGTGTGGAGGTGACTCCACTTAAGGCGTTTGTGGGGGAGAATATTAAGTATGGAAGTATACCTAAAGGGCTCAGGAAGTTTATGAAACTTCCATGATCCACAAGCACTGTGAGAGAGACTGAAGCAGACAGCTGGCCAAGTCTTGCAGGGAAGCCCAGAAATCTCTATGCTGGGGTGCTCTTTCCAGTGCTGGGCTGTCTCTGAGTCACCTACACTCAGTAAATAACCCTAGTGAACTCACGGGTCACCAAAGCTTTTACTCTGTGGGATCAGTTCTGTGGTCTGTGGTTGATGCCCTGTCTGGGGTGAGGTAACAACTGCCCACGCCTCCCCGGAGAAGCCGCACAACTAGAGCAGATTGTTACCCAAGTGCCTCACCTCTACACTGTGTAACAAGTGTGTGTGTGTTCATATGCTACTTCTGCCATGAACACCCAGGCTCCCTTTCTCTGTCTTGTCCACCCAGACACTCCTGAGCACCTGGGCCACAAAACAGCAAGTATCCACCGTCGTGGTGCTGAGCACCGCTGGAGAGATAGGTCTACATCATGCTACACCATACCAAGCCACTCTCCGGGTACTCAGTTGTTCATCTCAGGCAGTTCTTACAGCTCCCAGGCAAGCACATCACCACCCACCACAAGCTGAGGCTCATAAAGGTCTTAGTATTGAGAGAGGGGGGCTTAAGAGGCAGTTCAGGGGCTAGAGCAATGCTAATCTGGTAGACGATCCAGGTTCAATTCCCAGCACCCACATGATGGCTCAGTCTGTAACTCCAGTTCCAGTGGATATGATGCCCTCCTCTGGTCTTCACAGATACTGCATGTACACAGTGCACAGACACATGAAGGCAACACAACTATACACATAAAATTTAAAAAAAAATGAAAGGAAAAAAAATGTCTGGTAGCAAGGTTACAAAACAAAGCCTGATCTCGTGGCACACCCTGTCCCCCTAGCACTCTGAATGGTGCAGGCAGGTGGACTGGGAATTCAAGGTCTCGAGCTGCGTGGAGCTCAAGGCTGGCCTGGATTAAGAAAGACTATCTAAAGGAGGGGACGGGGACAGGCTGGGCATTGTGACTAGGGCTAACCTAGGTAGATCTCTGTGATTTTGAGACTAACCCAGCCAGAGCAGTTACTCAAAGAAACTCTGTTTTCAAACAACAACAAAAACAAACTAAAATTAAAAAAAAAAAAAAGGAAGAATGGGGAGGGGAAGGGAGGAATCCACTCGGCTAGGGCGACACACTGCTGGTCTTCCTTCTATGGCCCTCAACAGAGGTCTGGAGGGATGCGCCTCAACAGCAGATGCTCACCTGCCATGCATAAGGCCCTAGGTTTCAGCCAACACAGGAACACTGGTGCAGGCCTGTGTACTCAGGAGGCTCAGGCAGGAAGCTAGGGATTCTGCAGCCAGCCTGACCACTCACACAGCCTTGCTCACGTTCTTCAAGTTTTCAACACTATGCTCCAACCCAGCCCTTGGTTTTCTGAGTCTCAAGGTTCTCCTGCCTCCACCTCCAAAGTGCTGGCACCAAGTGTTGGGATTACCTTGTAGGGTTTTTGTTTCATTTGGTTTTTTGAGACAGGGTTTCTCTGTGTAGCCCTAGCTGTCCTGGAACTTGCTCTGTAGCCCAGACTAGCCTCAAACTCACAGAGATCTGCCTGCCTCTGCTTCCCAAGTGCTGGGATTTAAGGAGTGCACCACCACTGCCCAGCCCTTGTAGGGTTCTTGACGCTTCCCAAGTACTGAGGACCAAGCACTATTGTTTGTTGGGGCCTACCATGTCCACAGACAATCCTGAGCTGTGCAAACTAAAAGGCAGATTCTGTTAGGCTATGGCTACACCCTGGCTATTCATTGGTCTCTAGGAAAGGATAGGCATGCAACCACCTGGGAAGGGAGTAGTATTCTGGGCACAACCCCAAAAGCCTGGGTTTCTGAGAGGTGCTGATCTCTTTATACTATACAGGGACAGCCCCTACCAGTCATCCTCCACTGGTTACCACATCTAACACAACATCAGGAATTCACTGCTGGCTGGCCAACCCATTTTTTTAAATATATTTATTTATTTATTATGTATACAATATTCTTTCTGCGTGTATGCCTGCAGACCAGAAGAGGGCACCAGACCTCATTACAGATGGTTGTGAGCCACCATGTGGTTGCTGGGAATTGAACTCAGGGCCTTTGGAAGAGCAGGCAATGCTTTTACCCTCTGAGCCATCTTTCCAGCCCTGGCCAACCCATTTTTATCTTTTTCTCTCTCCCAGGGTTAGGGATGGAGCCCTGAGTCTTGTAAACACTAGGAAGGTCACCTACCGGGCAATTTCAGTCCTTTTTGGATTTGTAAGCAGGATCATCCATGTAGACTAGACTAGCCTGAAATGCCTAATCCTGCCCTGGCCTCCTGAGTGCTGCTGAAGTCACGGACATGTGCCAACCATACTCTTCTTACCAACACCACAATAGTCCGATTCTTCCACAAGACGTCCAAGTGAAGCTGGACATGGTGGCACACGCCTTTAATCCTAGAATTTGGGAGGCAGAGGCAGGCCTATAGTTCAAGGCCAGTCTAGTCAACATTGTGAGTTCCAGGACAGCTAGGGCCACACAGAGAAGGAAACCCTGTCTCTGGGGGAAGGCAAGGATGAACCACTCTTATGTGGTTCCCCAAATAACATCACAGCAGGAGTTACACAGCAAGCTGTCAGAGGCTGTTCCAAACCTTCTCCTGGACTTGCTCCCCCCAGTGACTATCAGCTGCTCAGACGAAAGGCAAAATGACCAACAGAGCCAGACAGAGCACAGCCTGCACAAGGGCAAGAGGGGCAGGAGCATCACACAGGGCTGTGTTCAAGGATCAGAACAAAGGAGTTAGTCAACATTCCATCCCAGCCTGAGGAGACAGAACATGACCAGAGGGAAGCCCAACAGGCAAACCAGAAGCATGCATCCTGCAGAGAAGCCTGAAGAGTGTGACCTCAGACATTAGCAAACATGGTCCCACATGAAGGGGGACTAAAGATCCTGGTTCCAGATGGGCAGCTCAGTCAGATGTGCAACACCAAACGTCCTTGGTGTCCCACATGGTCCTAAACACTGTACCTCACAGGAGGAAGGAGACCAGTAGGAAAGCCCATGGAGATATGACATACACAGGCTGTCTGGTGGGCTGCCCCAAGAATCGCACCACATTCCAGACACCATACATAGAAAGAAGGGAGTTCAGTACATAACTTATCTGTTAGCTTTGGAGTGGGAGTCCCACAATGCTATCCAGGCTGGCCTCCAACTCAAGGGCTCAACAATCTTCCTGCCCCACCCTCCCAAGCAGCTGGAACCAGATATGCCCAGCCTGGAAAACATTTTTTTAAGACTTGACCCTGAAACTCTAAAGTCCACAAAGGGACACATTCACAGCACACACAGAAACACTCAGCTTCCCACTGCCTGCCTTCCTGAAGGCAGGAGAGATGGGGATTCATAGGTCCACAGGAGGACAAGTGTCCTTGCTCAACTACAAGGACAGAGATGAGGCCACAGAAAGTCTGTCCATCTGTGCCAGCTGCCAGCCCTGCAGGCAGAAGGGCTTCTGCTGAACAGTTCATGCCAAGCTGGCCTCTACAGTCTTCAAGGGGAGTGGTACCACCTATCCAGGCCTATCAAGTGACAAAGGTGAGTCACTTGCTAATAGTGACTGCATGTTCACCACCAGGACACCTTCTTGCTGCAGGCCACTTCTCCCTCAGGGTGTGAAAGGATAGGGGCTCAGTTACCCTTGTTTTAGGAGAGTTGAGACAAGTACTGAGGGAAAGGCAAGCAGCCCTGCCCAGACAACAGCGAGATGGGCACCTTGCACCCCGGCAGCTACAAGTACCTGGCACAGGAAAGCTGTAGAGAGGCCAAGAACTCAAAGCACTTGCTCTGCAGTCAGAAAGGACAGTAAGAAGTTAGGCACCCTGAAAGCACCCGTAGCCCAGATGGGGTGTGGAGACTGGGTACTAGAATTTGCTAACTTCCAGCCTAGCTGAGAAGGCTCAATCATCATGTCTAGCAAAAGGCCCAGTCTCAAAGGAAGATGGTGACAAGAGGACACATGGTAACCTCTTCTAGCCTCTACACTCCACAGTGCATACCTGTGCACAGTAAATTTAAACCACCTGGTGCATATAAATGCCCTATCAACCCTGGTGCCACACCAGTTCTTAGCCTGTCACTCCATCCTAGGATGAAGTTAAAATAAG